TTTTGAGGATCTTAGAGAGCAAATGTTTCATGTACTTTGTCCTCTATGAAAGCTTATATCAAATATCTGAATCCTGTCCTGGGGACTTTGTGACCAGACACAAAGACTTTAATCTACTCTTTTTCCAAGGTGAACTTGTATTCAGCTAGATAACACTCTTTTTTTTTCCCCACCTTTGATAATACAGCCACCCTCTGCTGTACACATCATGGATTAACTGCTGTGAATTAGTTGACTTTATTTATAGCAGTGTATACTTTTCATCAGTTGTGTTTAAGGGATTCTTTCTCTTTAGGGAAAGCCTCGAGATTTGCATAACTTGCATTATTGAGGCTCTGATAAGGCAGGCAACCACATTATCATGTACTTCATAACCAAAAGGGTTTAAAACCAATCTGCAGTATTGCTTTAAGTAAAAGTTTCAGCATCTCATAGCTGAAGTACTTCTTGTCTTCTTATACAACTTGAAATTTATTTTTTAATATTAAAGTGCCTCAAAAATGTCGTTGTGTAACAGTAAAAATAGATTTTACGTATTTTCTGAAATGTGGTGTGTGAGACGTGAGAGTTTCTGTGAGCAGGAAAAAAATACTTTTCTCAGAGGATTGAGTGAAGAACAGAGAGGTCAATTTTAAAACCTTTCATTCTGTGTGATTACAGCCATGCTGCAAATGCCATTTCACTATAAGGAAGGACTTTGAAACGTACCTTATTTCCTGATTTCTGCTGCAGGTCAGATTAACTAAAATGGTTATTGTGTCACCCTAGAGATTCCTGCTTGCTGCAAGACCAGACTTTAAACCCTATTTTTATTATTAAAAAGGCCAGCAGCAACAAAGACTATTTTACAAGTTCTGAGACATTTTCATAGCAATTTGATCTTTATACACAGGTTTTTAGAACTCTTTGTACTGCAATTCTTAGCATATGTGAAATCGGAAAGGGCAGGAAGGAAGCACGAACATTCATTTGCCACTTGCCTGGAACCCACCCCCTCTTATTGCCCTTCTTGGGGAATGAATTCTGAATAGAGCATGTGTTGGGTTCTTGTGTTGTGATGGAAGAGCAGCATCTTTTAGCAGAGAGAGTAGGTCGGGTTGAGGGGCAGCCTGCTAGTTTGGGGGTCCAACATATGGGGCAGCTCCCTCCTGCTCCTCTGGAATTGCCATCGCATGCTTTAGTCTTTAAAGAAGATCAATCTGTTGTCAAGATGAGGATAATGGTATGATTTCACCTGGGTGTGACAGTTCTCTTTGTATCCTATCATACTCAAAGACACCAATGTTAATAAAACTGACCTCTAGAAGGGAAACCATGCAGCTTCTCTATGTTATATTTTAATAAAGTGTATCTACTACTTTTACTGCCCCTTATGCAGTGATCTTTGTTCCCTAACTTACATGCTACAAAACTAACCATTGAAGAAAGATTTGATTCCACACAGTCACCTCTTGCTCTTTCCTAATCTTGTTTAGGAAAATCTGGCAGTAGTTAGCCAGCCAGTATCCTCGGGTATCCCTTGACATTATCTGCTTGTCTTCTCCTTATCCTGTGCTTTTAACTGCTCACACAATGTTTAGACATTTAATCTGCAATTTTTAATGGAACAAAACTTGATGAAAAGATGATTTTGCTGGCTTCAGCAGGGTAATTTGGATGCCTGCCCATATCGCTTAGCGGGGATCTGTTGAGTCCATTATAGAAATTGAGTGTTTAAATTCATTTGTCTTAATTATGTTCTCAGAAAAATCCCTCAGATGTGTAGAATGCAACAAGACTATGATTTTTTTTTCTTCTTTTGCTTCAAACCCTGGTGAGATTCTTCATGATTTGAAAAATCCTTTGATTAGCTAGGAGGTGGAAAATGTATTGGAGAGAGCAGATGTTGATAATGACGTGTGATTCCAGCATTGTCTTGGAAACTGCCTGGTTGAAGATGCATCACTTCTGTTTCTAGAAAGCACATCTTTTTTTATACAGTCTCCCAAGTGCCATTCTCTCCTTTGTTATCTCTGCCAGCACTGCCCTCCAGCAGTATTGCTCCCTCCTGCAGTGTGTCTGTGCCAGCAGCACGCTTGGTCCGCTAGAATTCCATGGTGTAATTGGTGATGGTGCCAAGGCACTGCCCGGTCCTCAACCAGAGCAGCATCCTGATGCTCCACCAAGAGAGCCTCAACTTGCCCAGTCCCCTCCACCCCATGCTGATGCCAACCCAAAGCCCTCTTGGTATTTAATTCATAGCTCTGCCTTTTGTTGTCACACTTGGCCATGGCAGCCCATCAACAGCAGCTGTGAAAAGGAGAGAGGGGCTTATTTCAATGCTGCTTCAAGCCAGAGGTGTTCAGCAGCCACACGTTTTTGACAAGTCTAACTGCAGTAATGCTGGTTGGTGTGTGCTTTGTAGGGTTGAGAGGGAAGGGGATGTGTTTTCCAGTGCTTCCCAGGGATGCAGGCACACAGACTAATAAAGTCTTTTGGTTTGTTTTGCATTGTCTTAAGTTTAATAGTTTTAAAAGTTGTTTTACTTTGAGTGTAATGGTTCCTAAATTAAAGCAAATCATCTTTCCCCTTCTGGTTTTCTTTTTCACTGGAGCCTTAAGGAGTTTAATCTTTCCCCAGAGGAGTGCTGTGTGCATGGCATGTTGCAATGCCCCTTCTCATGGCAAGAAGACTGTGGTGTACCTGTGACCATTGTGATGACAGAACTACACTGCTGGCAGGAAGGAGTGCTTTACTTCTGCAGGGGTGCTGCATTAGCTGCCTGTAAGGAGGAGTGGCTCCAGGTCTTGGAGGCCTGGGCAGCTGGAAGTCAGCACGTGCCTCTGCCAAAAACCTCAGCATTTTGTTGCTGAGATTTAACGCTTCTTCTAAGCATTTTATTGCTCCTGCCTCAATCTTTCACAGTTTGCGAAGTTTCAAATTTTTCTTTTAATTTATTTTCACTTTCCCCCATCTCTTATTGGCTGGAGTGTGTTACTGAATATAAAGATATGAGATTTAATCTGTATATGAGATAAGAGGAAAATTTATCCTAAACATTTTATGCTAGTAAGCTGGCTGGAGTTAACCTCAGACAATTGCAAAATACTAGTAGTTTGAAAGTTCATAGTGTGTAAAGTATTCCTGAAAGCAGTCCTGTGTATTTGGATAAAAACAAGCTGACTGAATGGAGTAAATTTTGATAAATAAGGTTTTAATTGTGTACACTGCACACAAAAGCAAGACTAGTGTGTGTGGTAAGTGAATGGTGTCTAGCTTTGAAGAAGTACTACTGTGTGAAGAAGTACTACTACAATAAAAGCATACATTGGGTGATCAAAGATGACTTGCAAATAGTGCTGTTTTCAAAACTGAAACATACAAACCCCCCAAAAACTTTATTCTCAACATATTTGTTAAAATTTTGCTTTCCCTGATTTCTGCTGAAAAACCTTGAGCAGTTTCTCTCTTCCAGGGAACACTGTCCTTTTAGGAATCTTGCCCCGAAATACTGTTTTCATTTAAATAGCCTAGTTGCTGCAGTACCTGATGTGAAGCTGCCACCATCACTAAAGTCTACTTATATGATGTAAAATAAGGCTTGTAACAGCACCCACCCAGAAACCACCCAGCCAAAAGCTCTCTTCCCCAAAACACTCCCCATGAGCCCCAAAGTATTTTGTTGTTGTGGATTCTTCTTTATTTAAGTAGTAGCAAGTAGGGGACTTAACACCATGTAGGGGCTGCAAGCTCAGTTGTTATCAGCTGCTCTTTTCCTCTCCAAGTGGGATTTCTGAGAGCTGAAAAGCAAGCAAAATCATAGTGTTGCAAGCTTGGTAAGCAGGATATCTGTACTGACTGGGTGAGGAAATCCAGGTAATTCATTTGGTTTATGACGGGAGATGGGAGGAGATTCGGATGCTTTCCTACCCATGGTATGGTTGTACTTCAGTTTTTTTAAGACATGCACACACATCCATGCAGAGAATCCCCAGCTGAGCAATCTTCTAAGTCCTGGGAATGGGGAGGATGTGGGCTACAGAGCTATCTACACTAGTTGCAGGTCAGACCATCCCAGGCTTGACATCACCTAGAGCTTTATGTTTGGAAAACCTTCCTTCTCCACCCATGCTCCAAGTTGGACAGCTGGTGGATCTGGAAGCAGTGTGTTTGTATTAGCAAGGTGGCTGATCTAAGACAGTAAGTCTGTCAGCAGACTTGGCTGAGTTGAGCTCCAGAGCAGCTGGCGTCAATAATTATTGAATAGAATGTATCTCAAAATACAAGAATAAATTTTATTTTAAACAATGTTTTTTAAAACTTTTTAAAATGCTCTTTACTGTGGGTTTCTATCCCATCCCAAGTTTACCTAACCCAGGTGAAGGTTGTTTCTAATGATTCCTTAGTGTTCAACAGTTTTGGAGGTGAGCGAAAATAAAAATGCAGTGTATCACTACCGTGCTTCAGATGTTCCTGAACATTCAAATATGTACTGGGAAAAGAAAGACTAGCAGTCAGCTAGCAGCATCCTGTTAAATTGGGTAGTAAAATGTTTCACAAAAGCAATATTAAGTGCTGAGTTCAGGTGATAGAGGAAATTGGGTATCTTCCTTGTGCAGTCAGGAATTGAGATTTTGAAATAAGAATAAAACCAGGTCACATAGCCTGGTAACTTCAATTTTTAATACTAATCCAGGTTCATAAACCAGTTCAGACCAAGATTTTCCATTAAGCAGAAACAACAAACCTTCTGAGGTAAGGAAGCAGCTACAAGGTTCCTGTTAAGGCCGCATTGATACCACAGTGTGGTCTCCATAAAAGGTGTTAGTTCAACAGTGCTGTCCATAGGGCTCCAAGCATGACTGAGTACTGGAATTGGTCAGAAGTGACCAGAAAGAGGGGAAAGATGCTGTGAAACACATTGTTTCTGTAGGACCTACAGAGCCATCTGAAACACTCTAAAAAGAACCTTGAACATAATGTGTATCATAATTAATGTAGGTGTTTTCTTTTTAAATTAGATGCAACAGCTGGAATTAGCACAGATGCAACAAAGAGAAGCCAACCTCACAGCTTTGGCAGCCATTGGACCAAGGAAGAAAAGACCACTGGATTCATTGAACATTGGATCTGGGCTCGAGGTACAGACCTGGCTTGCAATGACTTGCCTTGTGTTACATCTTCATACTGAATTACATTTATCTTTCCCTGTAGGAAGAAGTGTGAATTCTCTCACACAAAATGGTTTGTTGCATTCTGTAAGAAACCTAGTTTGTGTGTTTGGTGCTTGAAAGGATTGTTTCTGGTAAATTTGATGGGAGTGTGTAATTGTGTGTTAAAGGAAAGACTATGCATAAGAGCACTGTGTGTAAAGGACTAAATGAAATGATGACTCAGAGAAATTCCCAACTATAGTGAAGGGTAACCAAGCTGTGGTGGCCTTCCACAATGGGTAATTGTCATGGCCTCTCAGGTGAACTCACAGTTTCTGGGTTGGATGGCTTTTGAAATGGTTCTTGATTTGACATTTGACTGTGGACATTAATCCATGCACAATGCATAGGGACTCTTCTCAAATATTCTGAGTTCACCTTGGCTAGGTTCTCCTAAAAAGCAGAAAATAAGTCAGTAAAGCTAAACCATTCAAGATTGTCTTCTATGGCTCATGTTGGATACTGAAAATGCTTTTAACAAACCCTATCTGAGCAAATCTCTCAATGTGCTGAAGAGTAACTGTTCCTGGTGCCTGGGAAGCTTTTGTGGCTGCACAAATCCTGAGGAGACTTCTGTTAGAGGTCATCATCTTTGCTGGAGATGGGAGAAATTGGTGTTACTGCCAGTTTTGCCCCTCTATCATGAAGCCTCAATATTGCTCAGGTGAAAGGCTGGTCCTGACATAATCACAATGATCAGGAACCTGGAAAGCAACTCTTGTGTGGAGGCAGTGATGGTAAAGCTGTCCTTTCTGATGAACCTTCAGTCTTTTTCATTCTTGTTGTCTGGGAAGCTTAAATAGATGGTAGGATTGAAAATACTCTGTCGTTTTAGCATAGCAGAGTCTGGGAGGACCTTGTCCTCAGTTATTTGCATTGTAACTGAGATAGTGGTGGCAACTGTCCTGTGGTTTTTTCTTCATCTGGACTGTCACAAGAGGCCTCGCTAAGCAGGTGAGATAGACTTGTTTCAGTGAATTTTTAACTTATTTTTTCCCTGACATGGATACAGAATTAGGTCTTTGAATACTCCCTGTTAACCACAAGTGAAGGGAAGGAATCTTTCTCTAAACAAGCTGCAGAAAGCAGCTTTTGAGCAGCTTTTCTTCTCTTCTTTGAAGTTTTTTAATGCACTTTCACATGAAGCTAAATGTATGGTTATTTTTTTTTTAATACCACTGGAAAAACTTGAAAAAATCAGTCTAGCACAAGAACAGTTTCCCCCATGCTTTTCTCATCTTCCCCCAAGCTTCTATCAGGTAACTATTCCTGTTCTTCATAGTGGTTTTCTGTAATTATTGTCGGATTTGTTTCTGAATATTTAACAAGTCTGCCTGTTAAGTACTTTTCAGTTATTTCTCATCATCTGTGGTATGTCTGCTTTATTAAAAGCTTCATGAGATTATGCCAAAGCGAGACAGATAACAGTGTTGCTGTTGAAAGCTGGTTATCCATTATTTACTATACCACTTTAAAAGAATGTGGACACGACACGCCTAAAACTGACCAGAAATCTTGATAACATTCCATTGTCACAAATTTACCTGCTGTACTGTAAGCAGCTTCTCATATGGTTGCCATACTGGACTGATTTGTAAGGGCAGTAGGTGAAGGTAATTCTGGCAGTGAAACCCTTTTTGTTTCTTGCATGCAAGCTCACATTCCAGTGCCTAGTTCTTAGGCTTCATGCTACTGGAAAGCATTTCTCTGCAGACCTTTTTTTTTTTTCTATTTTGTGAAATTATGCAGGATAACAATCCTTGAGAAGGATGTTTAGATTTAAATGTTTTTAAGTGTCCCAATATATCTGAGCAGGATTTATAAAAGGCTTAAGACTTCTCATGTAGAATAAAGAATGGTTTTGACAAACACTCTCTAGTTCAAGAAGCAGAACATTTGTAATACATTCATGATAACATGGCAAAACATCCTGAGCAGTAAACAACATTCCATTCTTCAGAGATGAAAGGAGGTCTTTGAAACTGAAAGCAAGTACAATATGGCCTTAGGCTGATACACATTTGGGCATCTTTAAAATCATCTTTTTGGGCAACCTGTCTGAGAATAATTTAAACAGGCAGGATATGCTTTTTCATTTCAAATTGCAAATACAGACAAAATACAGAGAGCTTTACTCTCAAATAATCTTAAATGTCAGAACTTCTAGACTGTGCAATGGCAAGTAAATCTGTGCACAATACTCCTGTGACTTTTTTTTTTTTTTTTTTTTTTTAGTTTTAAAGACTGATAACTTGGTAGATATGTACAATGGAAGAAGTTATTCCTAAATACAAATGATATTTAACATTATTGAGTGAAATCACTGATGCTAACTGGATTAAGATTTTTAACTACGACTTCAACTTTCTTTGGATAATGTTATTTGTACAATGTGTCTCCTATGGCTGTGTCAGCTCTGTACAGCTTCTTTTTATGGTTACCTACTGCAATAATTAAAGGAAAGGAATTTTTTCAAGCAATTATTGATGCAAACCAAAGCCCTAATGTATTTGGGCAGACAGGGAAGAAATAATCAGTTACATATGTATGAAAAAACTGAAACTTTGTAAGTAAATTTGTCGTCTATTTGCCTTTCTTTATTCAGTACCAAAACGGAATGGGGACTGGGAAAGTTCAGTTCAGCAGACTGGGTTGGTTGGATCTGCTGCCTGTTGTTGCAGTAAATGTGAAGGGCTCAAACCAGCATTTTAGGGAGCATGGTATGCTAACTTATCCACAAATAAGTATCTGTGTTTACCTGGGATGATTTTTTCAACCCAAGGTTTTTTATTTCTCCACACACCAGCACTGGGCTTTGCTCCTCTTCTGAGAAGTCTTTTTCCCAAGACAGTTGAGCACACGATTCCTGCCTGTTCATCTTATTTTGATGTCTGAAATTGTGCTTTACTTGGTCTTTCCAGGAGACCTATTATGGGTCATTTTAATGTGGTAACTAGAACATGTGGTGACACAAGCATGTGCTTTCCAGCTAGAAGCCTGCTTGCCAGCAGCCTCATCACCTCATAATGTAACAAGTACAGAAAGAGGCTCTTGTCCAGAGGAGTGCCTGTCAACTGATTTGGACCTAAAAGCAATATAAAAAGAATAATCTATATGTTGCCATAATTGCTTATGTATCTCTAAAGTTGAAATAGCAGTAGGGACAAATCCATGATGATCATGGAATGAAAAAATAAGGCTAATGCTCTAGGCCTAATTAAAAAAAAAATAAAAGAAAGAAAAGGCAGCAATATAATGGGAATTCTTTTTCCTTTCTTGTTGGAAACACTAGTTTGGGTAGTTTTGCATGTTCTCTTCACTGCAACTTAACATTTGAATGGTATTGTTCAGAAAGAGCAATTTGAGAAAGCCTTGGTAAGAAAATCCCTCTGTTGTGAAAATGTGTTAATTGGTGCTACTTGTAATCCAGAGGTGGCAATATCTTCATCTCTCTCATTCTTATCCCTCTGGACACTTTTGGATACAATGAATAGGAGAGGCCTTTGGATTTCATTTATATGTGTCTTGGGGTTTGTGCATTTGTTACCCACCTCTCCTCCTCCCCTAGTTTGAGGGCATGTGGTAAACAGTAATGAATTAAAGGGTAGGAAGAATTGAAAACTAACTCATCTTGGGAAGGGAGGACGCTTCTAAAACAAATAAGAAAAAAGTAAACTTGAAACCACAGACTCATTTTTCCAGTTCTTTGTTCTGTTTCATAGCTTTTATTGGTTGGTAAAAGCTATGAAACGCCCCATAATGTTTTCAATGCTGATAAATAGTCAAGAATTTTTTATATTTTTTATTAAGTTTTACTGCTTTACTGTTGACAAAGCCATTTTGGAAACAGCTTTTTCTCATTTCCACTGTAATTGGAACCTTAGAAGTTTGAAGACTGCAGTTCTGTGTCCTTAAACTTTGTTTCCTTCTATTCAGAGGTGTCTTGGGTGCAAGTCAGCTTTGGCCTTGGACCAAGAGCTGTGTATTTGTGCAGAATCATGCACCAGGGAGGAAAAAAGTCTGCAGATGTTTCTGAGAGAAGACTCAGAAGACTGGCTGTTACACTTATGGTCCTCATCTGAATAGTGTGGTCAGGCCCTTCATCTACTTTGTATAGGAAAACTTAGTTGAATACCAGTACTTCTGTGTAATTTTTTGGGGTAGAACACTTGCTTTGCATTATTTTTCTGGCTCCATGATAACACATTAAGTACTTAAAAGTGATGCAGTCTGTCCTGCTGTTGGTGTCGAGTTCTTCACTTGCTTTCTCCCAAGTTGGTTCCACTGACTGACTCAGGGTTGTACATCTCGTGTCTTTTCTTTCTTTATGTCAGATCCAATGGCAAAGGAAATTCCTCTTTCCAAATACTGCTTGTGTCTGTTCTGTCCCCTGCCAAGACTGGCTGCTCTGTTAGCAAGTGTGGGTCTTGCCTTGTCACAGGCAGTCTGGCTTTGCTGTGGAAACATAAGCTACTGCAAGTAGTTGCTACATTAGTAAATCATGCAGCTGATATGCTGTGGTCAGTGCAGAGCCATTCAAATACTCCTTTTCTGTCAAACTCCTAGCCCTGGCCAACATACTTAAAAGAATGTGATAACTTCCAGGGTTGTGCACATCTAATACAGCAGTCCACACTTGAATTCTCCTTCTGCAAAGAAGTTTGGCAAGCAAAAGTGGAAGAAATGCCTTGTTTACCACAGTGGTCATTGTTCCATTTTTAGTATTGACTGTGGGTGGAGGAAATGAGCTTGTCATCTTCTCTTGTGTCTGCCACATCTGATCATTGTTAGCAAACTTAAACTTACCCTTCTTGCTTTGCAACTTTGGGATGCTGGTATGCACATTGATTAAACATATTCTGTACATGGTGCTTGTTTGAGCTTTGGAAATGTTCTTTAGGTTGACTGAGGAAGAACTAAGCCTTGAG